GACAAAGGTACTGAACTCTTTGAACCACGCAGCCGGTGCATCATTCTGACCATATACATTTCCTAACACCTCTATGATTGCATCTTCAGGAACCCCTAGGATCCTACCTGGCGGCTAGGCAACATGCAATGGACGAAAGGCGTCCTCTAGCGGACCTGCCTCAAGAAAGGCTCCTCGGAATTCGCCAAGTTACAAACCCCAATGGTGGGAGGCGATCACTTGCATGAGACTCATGCGTCCCAGTTGACTCAGGGTCGGTGATTTCAATATAGAATTTTCAGCTTTCGCGGTTAAATCGGGGTCCAAACGTCCTTGCAAGCACCATCTTCCTGTTACAATAAAACTATCCTAATCCTCCGGATTGACCTCCATTCCCTCTTCCATTGGTTTTCGAGGTTTTCGAGTTAGAACGAAACGACTCCCGATGAAGCGATAAGCTTGTTCTTTCTTGATTTTCTTAGCGGTTTGACCATAATAAACCCGAACAGCATGAGTTTTAGAACTGATGGTCTCCTATTCAACTCTTTTTCCTTCTTAAATCTTCTTCTGGAGCTTGGGGGGATGATTACTATGGTGCAATTCTTTGGACATCTTCTTTTTGAGATATTCGGATGTGAGGCATTCCCAAGGCATCGAATCCGCGGCGGACAACAAGGATATCACCTCTTCTCTCGATTCATGGTGACATCTTCAACCAATCGTGGCGCAACTTCTCTGGTGACTTCGGCAAAATTATCCTATCTCATCTGGACCATACACTAACGATAATAATACATCAACAAAAACGATTAATAGGGATGGGAGACAAATCCTTTAGTCTCTTTATTCTGGGGTACCGGAACAAGATTATCATTAGACAGGGTCTAAGCCCGGATCTGGCAAACCATTCATTCTCGGCTGACCGGGTACATCAACAGGAGCATTGTCGCGCGCGATCTCTGGAGGGACAGGTCCTTCTTCCTGTGGTGGATATGATTGAAGAACCAAATCGATGTATTGCCTGCTCTTCAAGTTCCCTTGATTAATTATGTGACCCACCGTACCACCACTGCTACTCCATACCATTGACCACCCGGTTGTAACTAACTTTGAATCCATTTTTGGTTTCGCCAATAGGCCATCAAGTCACCCGGTTGGAAAGGAATATAGCGGCGGGGTCTTGCCAAGAGAGCCATTCTTAACGAGCGGTCATTTTGCATCTTCGTTAGGGCCATTCTGGCGGCAATTCTCATGGCTTGGGTACGAGTCAATCCGTCGTCAATCAACGACGCGGTATTGGCAATCACAGATTGAGGTTCACTCAACAGGTTTTGAGGAATATGGGGATTGCGTCTAAAGACAAACTGATGTGGTGAAAACCCATGAACCTGCAACATCTGATTCTTGATGTGGGCACGTGCAATACACTCGAGCCATTCTTCTTTGGATATAGGTTGAAATTCGTCTAGAAGTTTCTCTAGTACCCGATTGAACCAACCTCCGTATGATTGACGCTTGCCTAGCTGCCAGTGAGCGTCAGTTGCGATTGATCGAACATTGACGCCATCACCCTCGGCCGGCTTCATCATAGGTTCAACACTATCTCTTTGGGAACTCCCGTTTCAATCTCAAAGAACGGAATCATGCGCTGAAACCCGCTCGCGGTGTCCACCAGATTTAGGACGCGAACCTTCTGATTAAATTGCCATCATCGACTCAAGTGTTTGACATCCAATCCCAGTTTATGGTTGAATTCGGACACACGATTGGGTTGTGTAGGTAGCGGCGATGTTGGTCGAGCCTGGCTTTTGCAAAAATCTCACGAAGATTCTTTAGTCGAGCCTTGCTCGGATGCTTCTCTATGTCTTAGGATTCTAATCATGTCTTGATTTGGTGGGCGCCCTAAGTTCTTATGTAAACGAGTCAGGATCGGCATCAAATCTTGGTCGGACTTCGGGGTGGCTTGAGCTGCTGCCAACACCTCGGTCTAGCCTTCAGGAGACAGTGCGTCCTCAAGCACTTCAATGCAGCATGCGGGATGTGCTCGACAGGAATCCTTAGACCCTTGATCGAAAGCTCATAATAATGTTTGAAACAACTTTGACAAATTTTGGAGGATACTGACCAGCATATTCGCTATAACCTTCGTGATACCTGGAGCATGGCTGACTACTACATCGTGGCAGGAGTGCTTAGCATCACCTGTACATAGGAGGCCGAGGGACTGCATGTCCTGATATGACACGAGCAAGCTCGCTCTCTTTCGGATGAAATTCTCACTGGACGGAAGGCGCAACCCATACCTGCATATATGCAATTTCACCGTATCGAAAACCCGGCACAGACTTTGCATCTCAGGGTACGACCATAATTGGGAACCGAAAAAGCTTACCACACCAGCGAATATAGGAGCGACTCTGAGCCTTTCGTTTCAAGTACATCACTCGATTACACCTTTAGTGTTGTTAAGGTGCACCCACCCACTCTCATCCGTGCAAGGCGGATAAAGAACAATAAGCTCTGGTGGATCGGACATCAAATCGTCCTCTACTTTCTTCCTGTCGGTTGAGCGTCGAAAATCAAATCCGGTTTTGAGGTCATACGAACGAGCCCGAAAGCCGGCTTGTTCGGCAACCGATGCAAATCTTGGGGGGAAAACGCCTCCATCATTAAACATGTGGACCTGGTTCGTTCATGAACGGCTAAGCGTATCTTCATTTAAGACTTGAGACGTCGGTTCTGATGCGCGGTCCACGGACGGGCCTCTAGATCATATTCTTTCTTTGGGTTCTCACGCATAGGCAAATAGGTGAACACTGTACGAATATGCGTACGACGGCCGTGTAATGCATTGATGGTCTTATGTTGCGGGGTCCCTAGATAGATGTTCATATCATTAAGAACCTTGTTAGCAGAACATTTAATAATCTTACGTCGAATTACTTGTTTCCATTTGGGTCCAGACTGAGACAACAACGGGGTGCTCACTACGTCACTGTTGTCCTGGGTCCATATCATCAACGAGGACGGAAGGACGCCAGGCTCTAGTGTCGTTGCGATCTCTTGCTGAATAACCGGAGGTGTAGTGTTTGACTCCGGGCACGGATCTTCATAGAACACATCGTCCACTGCAGGTACAGTGTTTGACTCCGGAGAATCCACTTTGGCCATCACCTCATTGAACGAAGCTGCAACTACTGTGTCCGAAGGTGAGTCTATCAAATGCACCACATATTGTCCAGCGCTATTTGTTTTTAAGGGCACGGCCTGTTTAAACACACGTAAAGAATCACGCTCAAAATCAAGCGACACACCCAGCGCTTTCAATGCTAACCTGCTCAACAAAAAGCGGGGCATCGCCCCTAATGATCGCGGTTTAATCATACCCTATTGGTTGGGCAAGAGAGCTGGCATAACGACCGAATGAATTGAGGTTTCAATGTAACCATTGCCAAATTTAAATTAATGTCTGTCCATAGGGAAAGCTTCCAACCTCGTTGGCGCCACAACGTCTCAAAGCAACGGAGGGCGTTAATCCCGACGATCGTGCGGCCACAGCCTGAGTCCAGCACGGCGTAGCGGGGGACGACACCAGCAAACTCTCCTCTAGGGAAGAGATCATCGGGTCTAAGGTCTTCCTATGATACCTCGAACGGACTTGTTCCAGCAGAATGAATTGGCAACAAAATCCAACTCTTCGACCACAACGACTCCCAAAGCTGCTGTATCACTAGTCTTGGAATTGCCTTTGCTCGACCCTTTCTTTGGGTTTTTGAAATGGCACTCGCCCAATGACCCTTCTTGAAGCACCTATTGCACGCCGTATGCTTCTTCATCGCCCCAAAATCCACGGGAAGGAACGTTTTACATCTCGGACCTTGGTAAATTACCTGGACTTTTGGAATTTGTCTTGGAATGCGTCTCCGTCTCCATGGCATCCATCGATAATTTTTTCGTCCAACAACTGCTCCACATCGGAAAATTGCTCGTCCTAGAGGTCGGAGGGATCATCGCCGCCAGCATCGACATCCTCAGCGAGTGCCACGGCACTTCGAAATCACCAGCTCCGGGCAGCAGGACCTGAGGGTAGCAACAACCGACTCGCGTTTAAGGTCACCGCAAGGCGAGCTCTGGCGATTATCATTACTTTCTGTTCCTCACTCAATCCAGCTCGATGCAGCAACAACCAACCTCATGTAGAACTCGGAGGCCCGTCCGTTACTTCATATATTTTCCTTCGTTTGAACGAAGGTTGAATATTTCACCAAGGATTTCGCCCAACTCGTCAACGACCTCCCGCTGGGGAAATCGCTTATCCAACAAATCCAAAAAGACCTAATCGTCATCCTTCTCTTGAGATAATGCTAAATCAACATGTTCAACGACCTCCAAAGCTTTCTCACTAAGGAGCGTGTAGATGTCCGCGCCCCTAGCGCTTTCAAGCAACTTAAGGAGGCTAGGTGACGAAAGCTAGCCGGGAATGCATTGTTTCAATGGAGGCGAAGGTCGGACGCGTGGACGCGTGATGCACTCGCAGCTAGAAGTAAAAGTCTCCGGCTGTACATTCCAGTTCAAAAAAATGCTGTTACCATCTGTTGCCTAAAGGCAGTGTCTTTACACAGGTACAACTACATACATCCAAGTCACCCGAAAAGGGAAGGTTCCAATCTGTACACAGCCTCCAGTGAGCATTCAACTATACAGAACTACTGAGCTATCTGGGCAACAGGATTGGGAAGAGTCAGAGACAGTTCCCGTCTCGAAACTTCCTTCCATTGAAGGTACAGAAGCCGAGGATTGCAAGGCTATGCCAATCCGTGTCACGACCGCCAGGAAAAAAAACCTCCTAAGGAGGAAAAAAATTGGCTGGACAAGAAGGCGCATGATCCTGTAGAAAAAGGGTGGGCCAGCACAGTTCAAACCATCAGGCACTCGGGAAGAGCGAGAATTCAAAGAGCTCCCAGGTGGCAAAAACTCAGGGTGGGATGGGAAAAGGCAAGCTACAGCCATATGTACAAGTCTCACTCGATGCGTCGAAGCACGGCCCGGGCATTTTCACGTTGAAGGGCCACCGCCAGCGATTGGAGCGAACGTTCGCGCTCCACGCTGGCAGCTTCATTGTTGCGGACGGCCAGAGCAACCGAAAGTTCTTTCCATGTTTTCAGCGCTGTGGGCCCCCATCCCCCGCTGCAGGCTTCCGCAACCAAGGCAAGAATTGTAAGCCCTCTGAGGCGCAGGTGGCCAAGGTATGTTGATGGGAATATTTTTTTTCACTTCATAGTCGGAGACTGCACGCCGACCATCTGCAGCAATGGAAGGCAGATGCCCGGAGCGCAGGCCCGAAGTGACGGCCAAGTCAAAAGCCGCGGGTCCCAGCAAGCCCCAATTGCCGACCCAAACATCAGCAGGCCGCCGGCCGTTGGTGGCACTGCCTCCATCTTCCCCAGCACCACCGTCCTCCGGTCGAGGTGGCAAAAGCCCGGGCTTCTCGACGTCGGTGTGAAAGCCGGCCGCTTTGGCGCGGGCAGCAAGGATGGCTCGGAGGGCGTGGTGTCGCTTGGTGCGATCACCCCCGCACGGGGCATGAACGCCGAAACAATCCGCCACGCCATCGCACAATGGGCAAGGAACCTCGGCCGTGGCCACTGGAAGGCGAAGCCGAAGTTGCACCATGATTTTGAAGAGGGGGCCATCAACATGGAGCCCGAGTGCATGCGAAGGAGGGGCATGCAATCATGCTCCGGCTCTAGGCAATTGCAAGAGTTCAAGGTGGGCACGGAAAGCCCCCCCCTGGTGAAGGCGCCGCCAGCTTGGCAATCACGATCTTGTCCAGCGCCTCTGACAACTGTTGTTGCCGAAGGGTCGGCGGCGCTGGGATGGGGACATGTTCACTCGCTGGCAGCACATGGTTGAAGGCTTGGATTGCCTCGGTGGTTGCGGCACTGTTGTAGGTTGGGTCAAGAAGCCGGCAGAGCCCATGGGTGGCCACGACACTGGCGGCATACCCTGCCGGCGCATGCACTGATGCGTGGTGGAGGCCCAACCCACCGTGGGTGGTGGAGAGGGCAGCTTGGGCCCACGCCTCGGGAGTGAGCGGGCCAGCGCAGCAAGCTTCCAAACAATGCCGGACAGCAGCATCGAACGCAAGCATCGCTTGGCCGATGGCGTGGGGGGAATCACCCGAGTGGTATACATTACCTTGCAGTAGGAAGCGCAATGGCGCAGCAGCAGCAAGGCTGTCTGGGGATCGGGCAATTCAGCTAGAGCCAAGAGAAGGGGCTGGGCTTTGGTGACCCGCTCCTTAAGGGTGTGCTGTTCACAGAAGGCAACACTGCCAATGCTCGCCCCAAGCAAAGTGAAAGAGCCACTGCAATTGATTTGAACACCTTGTGGGAAAGCTCTGGGATCCACGGCAGCATCGGCCCCGCCACAAGGGATGAGTTCGCATTTGCTGGGGGTGATGCGCAGACCAACTTGCCGAGCGGCCGCGGTGAGGCGACCAAGGGCAGCGCTGACCACACGATAGTCACCAGCTAGGCAGACATCATCCAAATATGCCATAGTTAGGGGAGGCGTTTGGGTTGCCGGCACAGTTTGAGCAGATTGGAGAGCCGGCTGCAAGGCCAGGGCAAACAACATAGGCCCAAGGGGGTCCCCCTGTTGCACTCCAGCTTCGGAAGTGAGGACCTCTCCATGACAAAAGACTGGTGGGACAACGCCGTCCAATGACAAAAGACTGGTGGGACATCAAACGGAGTGAGGCAAATCTTTTTTTCATAGATATGAGGTTATTGGAGGGATTAATGAGGTAAAGCGTTGTAAATATATAAGACGCACGAACAGCAATGACACAGCCAACCTCAGCTTATGAATCTGTTAAATCCAAAATGCACGCCATAAGAGGCGTGGTGTCCAGGAGGTATCCGTCCTAAAGGCGTTCCAAGGGGGAATTAAACCCGCGGGGGGGGGGGGGCCCTTCTACATATGAAATTTTCACGTAACGCGGCGATCTCGAAAATTCCAACCCCTTACTTGCTAAAGCAAAAAACAATTCCAGCTAGTTAATATTAACTTTCGCAATTTATCCAATATCAGAAATTTGTTTCGCGCCCAAATCTTCCAATGCTTGTATTCACGCCATCTTCAATTTCACCTGCCAAACCACGAATAACAAGGTTTTCCTTAGAAATGGAAGCGTTCCTAATTATCGATATATCAGGTGTATAGACCTCCGCCTAAAAATTAACGATCAACAAACCATGGCTCGGAACCGGATAAGACCCGATTCCATTACCAATTATAAAGAACAAAAATCCTCCCCTAAAAATTCGAACGAACATTCCTTTTATTTCGGTCGGAATTCCTTACGAGGCTACCATATATAATATTTTAATATCATAGTATTTAAATATATTTTCACTTTAAAATAATTCGAGAAAAGTTATTTTCGCAAAATCATTTTAATCGAATATTATATTTATTAATATATATTATTCGATAATTCTATTTTTTTCGATTAATAATTCAATATCCGCATTAATTCTTATGTAAATAAATATATTAAATCGCATCGAAAATCGAAAACCCATTAAATATATAATTTTTCATTTTTCTGTTTCTCCTCAAATATTTTTTATATCTAATATATAAAATTAAATGAAATAAGTTAGTTTAAAAATTCATCCTTCAAAACAATAGTATAAAATATAAACTTAACTCAAAAAATATTAATATATTTAAGGATATAGACCTCCTCGTTATTTATTGATATATATATATATATTCCAAATTAAATCGTAACCGCCTCCAAGATCGTGTATCCACGCCTTTTTCAAATATTTACGAGAAGCTTATGGGGCGTGTTGAAACTTCTTGCAAGTACATTCTCCATTGCTGTTGACTTGCTTTATGTTCCTGGCTACGATCTGGTGCTAGCTGGCCCAAGTTCTATGGAGACTTGTGCAATCTCATTTTGAGCACCAAAAGGTAAGCTATGCAAAATGCACAAATGCATGGCAGCCACACCGCTCTCCAGGTAACTTTTTCTTCCCTTGAGATGTAGTTCACCAACCACTATACTGGTCATTTTCTCATCGATTGAACGTGCCCAAGTAGCTTCAGGTGACATGCAGCCATTGCCTATATCTTCGCGTGCTCTCTCTGCTCAGCTCGCGACTAGCCTGTGTATACGGAAAAGATTCCCCGAAAATATGTCTAGCAACGTCCCTGTTGTCCTTCCGCCAAGGGCAATTGCCCTGGATTTGGTCAATGGGCTCCACCGCATTCCAATGCACAAGTTCTTGCAGACCAACGTTTCTGCCAAATTTAAAGATGGATCCTGTCTTGAGGAGTGCGTGTGTCAAATAGATTTGGGGGAGCTCGATCCCAGGACGCGCCCGAATTTTGTGCTGACAGCGCAAGATTGAATTCTTGCACACCAACGTTTCTGCCAAATTTGAAGATGGATCCTGTCTTGAGGAGTGCGTGCGTCAAATAAATTTGGGGGAGCTCGATCCCAGCGCGCGCCCGAATTTTGTGCTGAAATTCACGCGGGCCGGTCGCAGCGACCTCTATTGGACTCTCGACCACGCGCGATCTCCGCAGAGGGTTGCGCGCGCACCGGACAGATCGCACTCTCGCCTGCATTTCGCGCACTCGACACGCACGATCTCCGCAGAGGGTTGCGCGTGGACAGGTAAATCGCATTCTCGCCTGCATTTCGCGCACTCAACACGCACGATACAAATCGCACTCTCGCCTGCATTTCGCCCACTCGACACATACGATCTCCGCAGAGGGTTGCGCGCACACCGGACAAATCGCATTCGCGCCTGCATTTCGCGCACTCGACACGCATGATCTCCGCAGAGGGTTGCGCGTGGACAGGACAAATCGCATTCTCGCCTGCATTTCGCGCACTCAACACGCGCGATACAAATCGCACTCTCGCCTGCATTTCGCCCACTCGACACATACGATCTCCGCAGAGGGTTGCGCGCACACCGGACAAATCGCACTCTCGCCTGCATTTCGCGCACTCGACACGCACGATCTCCGCAGAGGGTTGCGCGCACACCGGACAAATCGCACTCTCGCCTGCATTTCGCGCACTCGACACGGACGATCTCCGCAGAGGGTCGCGCGCGCACCGGACCAATCGCACTCTCGCCTGCATTTCGCGCACTCGACACGCACGATCTCCGCAGAGGGTTACATTTTCGGTTGACGCTGTTCGTCCCACCCTCCGCCTTTAAGAGAGAATTTATAGAATGGAGAAATGTTTTTCATTAGGACATTTCCCGTGCAAGTTATCATTAGGACATCTCCCGTGCAAATTTTCCATACTCACACTTGCATACTTATTAGGACATCTCCCGTGCAAGTTTTACTTTTGCACTTGGATACTTGCCGTTGGATGCTTTCATTCTTCCACTTACACTGGGATACGTATAGACGTGTCAGTGTTCAAGTGTAAGTGTGGAAGCAAGGATCTTTCTTATAAAGTAGGTGTTTGTTTTTTAAAAAGAGGTGTTCAATTTGTCAACGACATCATGGTTGAAACCGTGCCCATTCAGCCACGAAGATTTTGGATTTCAAAACCCAATCCACGCTCGCCAGCGAGCCCATTGACATTACAACCAGCTTTCCAACAAGATAATGTTATATACTGTCATTTCCTGTGGCTTTCTTCTCTTGTGTTCTTCGCGGAAAACGCCGAGACGGGAACCCAACACATCAGAGATGATGCTTTGGGAAATATACATCATTCACATGGATGATCAGGATGATCAGGAATGGTGGTAGTGGAGCATATTGCGGCACATATGTTAGCGGAGCATTTGGTGTAACAAGAGAAATGATAAGATTGAAAGCTGTGAGAAAAGTTTGCTACATACAGTACCGGCGTTGCCGCAGAGTAAGAGAAGAAACACCTGACAATTATTGTTGCGGGATGGCCATAGGCTTGCAATCTTAAAAATGTCTATGCGCACCTCATGAGAGCCTGGGCCTCGCTTACTTTCAATCAAGACAGCATCAAAATGCAAACTGAAAGCCAACAAGTTGGCTGTGGATCATCTTCCAGCAAGCTGGATGACGATTTCAACATCAAAAACGCTTTTTTTCCATCCTGCTGGTTGAGTCAGCGCGCGTTGGCACCGGAAGCGGCAGCCGCTTCAGCAGCTCTTCTCGCCTTACGTTTGGCTTCTTTTTGGTTCTTGCGATCTCTCTTCTCTCGCTGCTGCCATTCCCAAGATGTTTTTGGCTGTGTAAACTTCTTTCCTCCTTTTTTTATCATTGGATCCTCTTTGGGGATCAAGGATTCGGCGTCTTCCCGGAGCCTCTTCTCCTTGACTGCTCTTTGATTAGCTTCGGCCTTCTCTTGCTGCGCTGCAGCCAACTGCCTCGACAAGGTCGCCGCCACTTCTTCCGGCCAATTGCATGAACCGCTGAGCTAGTTGGTCCAACCGTCGCGTTGGGGTAGCGCTGCTGCTTGAACATGGTCGACGGATGTGGTCTGATGCACGGGAACGGAGCTCGTCATCATCTTCCTCAAAGACGTTGGATGCAGAGCAGAAAAATCGAAGGCATCAACAAAAATCGCCACCCAAACAAAATCATATTTACTAGTGAAAATGCCTCATACCAAGAAGACTGCCTTAACCCTTTGCCATGCAAGGAACCCAATCAGTTGGAGATGTCGTCACAGGGATGATTTTTACATCGTTGGACGCGACTGTCTCAGCCTTATCCCCAATGGTCGGCTCACTTGGACTCGCTCTGAACGTTGTAGGAGGAACCAAAACAGTGATCTCAGAACGCGCCATCATCTCAGAGGGCGGCTCGGTCTCGTCGTCTGCGTCACCTTGCAAAAATGCCCTCTCAGAGGGCGGCTCAGTGTCGGCATCTCTATCATCCTGCACTGCTCCTCGCAAGGCTTCCATGAGAGCTGCATCCATCATGGCTCACGACCACGAAAAGGAAAGAGCTAAATCCAGTCTGTTTGGGAATCTTATATTTATTACGTCGACATGGCTGTAGTCAGACTAAGCCAAAAGTTGCTGTCAGCCTATTAACTTTCTCTGGTGATCCCTTCTAGCTCAGATCCTTAAAGGAATAGATACAGGAACATCACAAGTGAACCATATCATTGACAATGACATCGAAACGCGCAGCAAAATATTGAGCAATCAAGAAGGCCAACAAGTTGGTCTTCTTCTTCCTTGCCAGCAAGCTGGCTAGGAAAGTTGGACTTTTTGCTGGCAAGTTTGGGCTAAAGGTGCATCTTGAAAGATTGTGTGTCCACCCCTGTGAACATAGCGACACTCTTCTGAGTGTCGACTCCAGGGGCCGTGCTGCAAGAGCGCAGCTGGGCGCGTGAAGCTGTCAAAAAGCGGGGTCTGTATAACACATACATGACAATTTCTCAACGACGCCTAAATAAGGAATCTCGAAGACAGGTCATTCAGTATAAGGCCGATGATGAAGACTTAATTCCCGCCAGCTTGCGCGATGGAAACGCTGAAAAACATTTCATGGATGTTGCCAAATGATCGATGGTA